ATTTGTATTGTGAAAAGCGCTGTACAAATAAACTTGACTTGACTTAATAGTGCCAGGCATAATAGTGGCTCCCTGATGCCCAGCAAGATCAGCAAGTGCTGATGTCAGCTCAACATCGTGATGTCTATCAGCCATCGGCGATGGCCGATGGCATCGTCTATCGGCTCAACCCTATTTTTCAAGTCTTTTATATGAATGATACAGTGGTAATTGACATAGCATTAATTACAGTACAGAAGCTATAAAATATATGTTCTGCCTTATTCTGTGATAAAAATGGAAAAAAAGTGTTTGTAGTATATAAACTATTATACTGATTATACAATCATAACCATAAAATTGTCATTAGTAAAAAATATATCAAAAATATTATAGAAGACAAATGATTGGTTATTGTCCAGCAGTGCATTTTATTTCTTAGCCAAGTAAAAGTAAGAGATAAGTTTTTTTTTTGTCAATTAGACATACATAATAATAATAATAATAATAATAATAGGCCTAATAATATTTATTTATTACATTTGACATTTCTGTCCCCCTCACTTCTGAAATGATTCCTACTCCCCTGCCCTGTAACATAACTGAATACAACACTTTAGCTATATGCCGTGTTATCTTTATTTTGGGATCAAATATCTTGTGGCGCCACGTGAATTTTATTCAGTGGGAAAGGGGCCAAAATGGCTCTTTTGACATTGAAGGTTGCAGACCCCTGCCCTAAGTATAAGAATCAATATCGTATCGTATCGTGATGAACCATCCAATTTACACCCCTAACCGTTACATCACGAGCTTTACAATTTGATAAACACACTGAATATTTTGTTAATTTATTTGATTGAGAACCATTTACCTTTACAGATGGAAAATCTGAAGAAGAACACAGTAACTGCATACAACAGTGTGGTTTTTTTAATTAACTTGCAAAATAATTAATCAAGTATTTGAAACTTAAACCTCAGTATCTCCAGCTTAGAGTTTGGACTCTTCAGTCCATCAGAAAGAAGCTTCACTCCAGAACCCTGCAGGTCATTGTTACTCAGGTCCAGCTCTCTCAGGACAGAGTGTGAGGATTGTAGAGCTGAAGACAAACTTCCACGAGATTGAGCAGACAGATTACATCCACATAGCCTGTGTAAAGAACAGAACAAACAGTAATTTAATTTGTTTACTTATTGTGTTTATTTATCTGGTAGGGTTTGTAATCTGGAGCACATATGACTTCCAGAAAGCTTTGACTGTGGTGATACAGTTGAAGTAAACTCAATGAACAGTGAATATATCTGATGGTTTTAACTTAAAGAAAGAATTTAAGGCAATAACACACAGGGCTTCCATTAGATTTTAAATGTATGTTTCAGTAATTCAATTCTTCATAAAACACCTGTCACTACCGGAGTACTGATCAGCTGCACCTGTCACCACCTCATCAGCACTAGTTTAAATGCACAGCCACTACAGTCACACTTTGTCAGGTCTTGAGTTCACTACGCTACTCCTTACCCGACTGACTGAACCTGGACTCCATCCAGATACCTTCCTGTCTCTGTGCCATCTTCTTCAGCCCGATCCACCAAGGAACCCTTTATCACGTGAGCCCGATCCCTTCCATTCCATAGACCGTTTGCTGTCCATCCCTCTCACTCTCCCAGCACCTGTTCAATAAAGCTCTGTTTACTTTACCTCTCCGGCCCTGGTCTCCTTCTGTACTGTGACAGAAGACCTGACCTGTTCCTCGGATATGTCATCAGTCCTCAGGATATCCAGACAAGAAGGTCCAAGCCATTCACAACTGGCCACAACCCAAGACCGTTAAGGAACTCCAACGCTTTCTAGGATTCTCAAATTTCTACCGTCGTTTCATCCACCACTTCAGTCAGCACACAGCCGCCCTCACGTCCATGCTCCGAAATAAGCCCAAGTCTCGGTCCACAGCCATCCAAAGTTTCGAAGGACTGAAGGAAGCCTTCTGCACCGCTCCTACCCTCGCGCTTCCCGATCCTCAGAGACCGTTTGTCGTGGAAGTAGATGCGTCCACAGTAGGGGTGGGAGCGGTGCTCTCCCAGCATTCTGGAGAGCCTCCTATCCTCCATCCCTGTGCATACTTCTCCCGCAAGCTTTCCCCGGCGGAGCAAAATTATGACATCGGGAACCGCGAGCTTCTCGCCATCAAACTCGCTCTGGAGGAGTGGAGACATTGGCTGGAGGGAGCTCTTCATCCCTTCCAGGTCATCACTGACCATCGGAACTTGGAATATCTTCGGGAGGCGAAACGCCTAAACCCGCGTCAGGCACGATGGGCGCTGTTCTTCACCCGTTTCCAGTTCACT